ATCCAAGATGCCTTAGTAACAAGGCACATCTGAAACTAACAAGTCTTAGTCATGCTCAAGTCTAAAATCCTTCTATTATGAGCAGTGTAATCTTTCCTTGGTACTGATAGGGTAAGTTTGTGCAACCTACTCTTCACTGGCAGCTGATTACTCTAGCGTTAGCAATAGTCTTTAAGAATTGAGAATTCTTGTAACTTGTCTAAACTTATTTTATTTATACTTCTCACTACAGTTGATCGTTTTCATGCATTCTAATTCCATCATTAGAATGTAAACTCCTTGAAGGCAGAAACAATGTTTTGTTTATATTAGTAGCTTCTATTTTATATAATGCTGTGCTCATACTAGATATACGATAATAATTTTTCTGAAGAATAAATTAATGGCATGGGGCAGTCTCAGGGTTAACCATCAGCCAGCTGCCCAGCTTCCATGATATAATGAGCAAATCTTGTACAACAATTCATTTTGTTAACATGTAACATATATTTACATTAATGTACTCGATTCTACCAATAGTGTGAAGATATAGATAATAGTACTGTTCCTAGTTTGAAAAAATATGAGTCTTATGGAGGTTCGGTAAATTTCCTAAGCTTTCATAGCTAGGATTTAAATTAAACATTCTGACATATAAATCTTTGTTCTTTACTATGATGATATACTATTAGCTGAAACAGAAAGAGCAGTAAATTAGCAAGCTAAAGGAGAAAACGTATTTTTGCTCTCATGAATACGAAGAAAAGATTTATTTATTTATTTACTTTTGCATTGAATTATTTCTGGCTCAATCCAATCCTGGGGGTAGTGGGTGGAGTCTTTATGTACCTGTATGTCTATGCTAATTGTTCCCAGATAGGTAGGTAGCTGTGGCCTCACCTTTTGAAGCAGTGAGCTGCTGTCAGGACCCATGTGTTACTGATCAGGACGCCTCCACAGTGGTGGACATTATTGACCTGTAGACTGACTTGCCACGGCCAGTCTCCTTCCTGAGCCTGAGTGCTTCCAATGACTCTCTCCTCAGACAATGATATTAGGTCTGGACGAGCCCCACATTCTAAAGAGAAAAAGGCATTAATGTGCTGGGAAGATCATCATGCATTTACATTTGGGAGATGCTGCAGAGTTTCTATATAATTTATGACTCCTATGTCTCCTATGAATTCTTCCCCAGGACCTGCTAGACTTTCTGAAAAGCATGATCAATATGTTGTATCTTTAGACTACATGTGTCCCTACTGTTGCATATAGACTGCATTTTAGAAAACATTTCTGAATTTAATTGGCATCTGGGCTTCAAATTCTGGAACTGCTTTAGAGTTCTCTGGAATTCCTCCTGAGTCAAGGTGAAGATAGGTGAGTGCTAGATGGGCCAGCTCAGACTACAGACTCCTGGGAAATTTCTTCCTTCTCAATAGCCTTGTTACTCATAGTGTGGTCTGTGGGCCTGCGACATGGGCATCCCCTGGGAAATTGTTAGAAATGTGACTTTCAGACTCACACTAGGGGACAAAATCAGAAGCTACATTTTGTTGAGAAATTCATGTGCTCATTGAAGTTGGAAGAAAACTGGTCTTATCCAAGACTCTGTAGTGGTATTGCAGTTCATCATGAAGGTTCCAGTCCACCTCCAGAACTGACTATATATTACCAAATGTGCCCCCAAAAAGGAGTTGCTATAGGCCCGCAGAATATTCTTGAGGGTGATGGAGGGTTTCTAGCATATAGATAAAGTTTATTTAAATGTCTTAGAGAGCTAGGAGCACTCCACTGGCCAGAGCTGAAATGGGCTAGGGTAGGCTGATCATTCAATTCCTCTCAACCCCCATTTCTGTGATTTTTTTTTTCTTGTTTACTCTATTTCTAAGAAATTAGAGGTAAATCACAACAATTTCTATTGCTGGGCTGACTCTCAAGTGGTGCTCTGCTTTAATAGGACAACTACCCAAAAGCTTTTTTTTTCCTAGCAAATTTCCCAGATAGAGGAGAACCAGACTTCCATTAAGAATATACATGGAACACAGGTTCTGCTGCATCCTCCAAACAAATTCCCTAGTAAATTACTTAAGCACATTT